AGTTTAAAGAGAAAAGTAAAGCCATAGACAAAGTAGTTTTATATACTCATTTTGAATAACTTCTACATCTCAAAAGTTGGATTTATTATTTTTTTAATCTTGAAATTGGTAGGAAACCATAGAAAAGCTTCAAGTCAGAGCCAGGCACCAGTGGCTCACGCCTGTAATCCTAGCTACTCTGAGGCTGACATCTGAGGATCACGGTTCAAAGCCTGAGAGTCTATAAGACGCTTTTTTTTTTTTCCTAGTCGTGGGGCCTGAACTCTGGGCCTGGACACTGTCCCTCAGCTCTTTAGCTCAAGGCTAGCGCTCTATCACTTTAGCCTCAGTCCCACTTCCAGCTTTTTCTGCTTATGTGGTGCTGAGGAATCGAACCCAGGGCCTCATGCATGCAAGGCAAGCGCTCTACCACTGAGCCACCTTCTCAGACCAAGTCCATGAGACTCTTATCTCTAATTAACCACCAGAAAACTGGGAGTGGCACTGTGGCTCAAGTGGTAGAGCGCTAGCCTTGAGCTAAAGAGCTGAGGGACAGTGCTCAGGCCCAGAGTTCAAGCCCCCTGGCTGACCAAAAAAACAAAAAAACAAAAAACAAAACTTCAAGTCAGTGCTATTATCCAATTCACATTTTAGCAATCCTTTTGCAAAAGGACAAAGAGTCTTGAGAAAGCACACTTCGAGTCAGAAATAGGTTTGTGTTAGTAGTAATTTAACAATTGTCTTAATTTGTAGAGACACACTAATCACCAAAAATATAGATTTACTGCTCTGTATATCAGCTATAAATGAGCATAGACCAAAAGATAAGTAATTATTACGCTCTTTTTTTCTTCTCATTACATGAAAACTGGATCATTTTCCTGTTTAGACAACTATTAGTTATTTAACTATTGAATCCAGATAATCTTTTCTTGACAGTAGGAACATTTTCACTAAAATTAATAAATAAGAAAGAAACAAGGATTGCATTATTTTCCACCCTAAAATTACATACTGTCTTCACATTACTATTTTGGCAGAGAATACATTCTAGAGACTCCCTTATATATTTTAGACCGCACTAAACTCCTTTGTCTCTGGCATTTTTAACAACACTCTTGAGTCCCGCAGACTCATTCCTCATCCTGTGACCATTTTCAACCACTGGATTTGGCCAATCCTCTCTGATACTCAATTGTCCTGTATCTAGACTAATTTGAAAATATTTTGGATAAAGTTAAAAGATTTGCAACAGGTGAGCAGAGTGGAATGGCACTAATTGTGAAACTGGAGAACTAGAGTGGGCACATGCATTATTATTGAGGATGTCTATGAAGTCTCTGGAAGTAAAACAGATTTAAAGTTCATCTTGTCTGGACTTGATCCAAGACCACTGGTTTAAGCCAACATCAGGAAGTCTGGAAGTGAGGATACAGGCTCATTTATTGTCTTAGGCAGTAAAATGAATTTTTGGGAACAGAAAAGGCTCAGTAGTCAGAAGTCTTTTTAAGAGGAGAAAAATAATTATAAGTTGAAACTGATTTTATCTTTCTATTCACTTCTTCAACAACTAAATATAAGTTTCAAAAAATACACATAGGAAGCAGAAAAATTGATTAATATAACTGCTCTAACATTCAACCTCTTGTTTTAAAACCAGTAAGCATCTGCTTAATTACAGTAAGCTCTAGCATGGTTTTAACACAAATTATACTAAAAACTTTTATTATATTAGTGAGAAGAACAATTACTAATGAATATTGGCAGATTTTATCAGTAATTGTAAAACAGTTGATACCATAGTAAGAACAAATTATCATGTTTGGACATATTTGGGCCATGTAATAATAAGCAAAAGCAAAGCACAAGAGCTTGGCAATGACACAACAGAAAGAAAGAAAGAAAGAAAAGTAAAAAGAAAAAACCCTGATGCTCACAAATAAATATCAAAGATTACTAAGTAGAACCATCCAGTCAGACAAATCCTGGCAAGAAAGGGAACAATCTACTGAAGAACATGAAATTAAACATTTTTGCTTGGCAGAACTGATAAACACAGAATATATCTGTTATTCTTGTTGAAATCATTTCTTCCTCATTGCCTAATTGACTGATTCAAAAGCACCTGCTAATCAATGTAAAGTAATATCAAATGAATGATTATGGCATCCTTATTAAGTTATTACATAGGGAGAAACCCCAAAAAAAGCATAACTCCTCTGAACAACTAAAGTACTACATATAAAAAAGAGTACTAGAAAATGTAAATTTGGGGCTGAGAGACAAAAGGGTAACACAGGAATGGTGGGAGGGAGGCTGAACAAATGCAGGGATTATGTTTAATGTTCATTATGTCAAAAAAAAAAAAAACTATGTAATTTGTAGTGGGACTGGAAGGAAAAAATCAGGGAAAATTAAGTAGGGGGTGCTATTGCCCACAAAAGATTGCATTAATACCTGTCTTATGGAATTATAACTCCTTTTACAAGTCCTTCATAATAATAAAAAATAGTTTTCTATCAACTAGATATTATGGCATAAGCCTTCAATCTCAGCCCTAATGCAAACAGATGTAGAGTTAGAAGCCAGCTCTGCCACAAAGTGAATAGAGAGAGGAGGGAAGAAAAGAAGGGAGGGAACAAGGGAGAAGGGAGGGAGGGAAGGGAGGAGATTGAATAGTGATAGAGGGACAGAAAGAAAGCACTTTTCTTTCACTTATTAAAAAGTGACAGAAATCTCATTGATCTTGGGCATATATGCTGAGTACATCAGAAGTAGGATTCCTTATTGGACTCTATATTCCAGAATTTATTACTTCCTGGTTGGCATAGTTTTTGACAACACTTCACCCATAGAATGAAACAGCATGTTCACTGTGTCAACTCTTCTTTCTGGTCTTTGCATATTTAATGTTAACTAGTAAGTAGCCTTTTTAAAGAACAGTGGTACCATCTGCCTCTCTTTCTAGAGCTAGATTCCTTGGATTGGAAAGACAAGTGACAATTAACATTTCCTCCTGGGTGAATATATGCTAGCAAATTGGACTAAAGTGATTATGAAGAGATTAAAGTGCATATATCAGTCTTTGGTTAGCCAAGTCCTTTCAGATTGTATACTTGCATCCTTTGCTCTCCAGTGTACCTGTTTGGTTAATTACTTCTCCCTGTTAGACGATAAATTCCATAAAGTAACACTGTGGCACATTCATTGTAAAAATAAATCACAATCCTTTGTCAAAGGTGTGCATAATTGCAAGCAAATAAAAGCTCAGAACTGTTTGCAATTGGCTTTTTACATTTGACAAATTCAGGAAGAGAATAATTGCCTGTAGACAATGTATAACCTTGATTTAAGTGACTTATTGTTCACACTTTGCACAGATGCAGCAAAAGTAATCTTCTTCCCTCAGAACGGTTCCTCTTGCTGAAAAATGACTTGTTAGATGAGAAGGAATATGTACTTATAATTCCCTTGTTTGTTTTCTAACTTCATGTATCTTAATGGCTGTTCCTCTTTTATCTCATTGCCCTACTTTTAAATCTGAAAAATAATCTATATTAACTTCAGAAAAGTAAAGTCAGCAAAAGTCTAAAAGCAGAAGTATATTTACAAATAGGGCAGGGAAAATGTACAGCAATGCTGTGTTCTATTTCTCCCTCGGAAAGTTCATACTATGAATGTTATAGTGATTTCTGCATAGAGGGATAGGAAATGCCCTAAATTAAGCCCAACAGCACTTGAGGTCTTGTAGACTATCAGGTTAATATACAAATTAAGTAAATTCTAGTTTTTCCTTCTTTTGTGTTCTGTTAAAGCAAGTAAATGCCTTTTGTTTTCCTTAAATGCTTGGAGGTGTTTATTTTCTTTTCATAATCATTTTCAGGATTTGCAATCTAGCATATTTTCTTTCTCATATGTTTTCAAGTCTTCTGTTTTATGTGTTATTTCATTACTGATCAAGTGAATTGAAAGAGGAAGACCTATTACCCCTTGAATGAGAATATCACCAAAATGAAAGTAGAAATATTACTAAGAGAGATGACAGAACAAGACTTGAAACTACTTCATAAGACATGCCAATTTTTTGGTATTGTTTGTTGGCTTTCCTTTAACTAAATGTAGAGATGAGCCACCATTAAGTAATATTAAAGCTGTATAGATATTGGTTAAAATTAATGGATTCTTATTGTCTCAAGTTGTTGGAAAATCCAAAATAAATATCAGACATTTGTGTGATATGTGTTCTAAATGGGCTGAAAAGTTTGACATATGTAGAACACAAAAAAAATTATTTGTTCACTATTAAAATTTCAAGGTAAGAAAAGCTGCTACTTCGTAGGCAATTCGCTTGGGGCTCTTACTGGAAATAAACATTAATATAAAAAGCATGTGAACTTTCCAGACTGGGAGAAAGGAAAATACCTGTTATCTCAGTGTTCCACAAATTTTAGTCATTAAATACATTATACAAGTTTTGTAAATCTTCAAATAAATATTAATTTTTAAAATATCACATTTTGGATTATTTGACTGTGGTAAAACGTAGTAAGGGCATTATTTGAATGGCATTGGTTATAACTACAGGGAAATAACCATGCAGTCAGACATATACATTGGAATACACATATATACATAGGCATATATGTGTCTAGCATCTACTATGTGCCAGACACTAGTGTAAGCATACAAGAGTAACTAGCTTGACAAAAATCTTCATCCCCATTGCACTGATATGTCCATGAGGATATAGGGTGTACCAAATACAGGAGTGGGAGGGAGAGAGAGAATGAGAAAGAGTATTATACAGGTGATGTGATCATAGAATATACCCAAGGATCAACAGCGCATAAGGATTTTTGGGCAAGTCCACAAGGAAAAGATCATATGTACACCAAAGCATCTGTGATGATACAAACATACCCCAAACCAAGCCAAGAAAAAGGAAAAAGAAATATAGCTAGAGACTAGAATAAATGAAAGGGGAATCAACAGGACTAAATTTTAGTAGAAAAAAGGTAACAGGTGTGTGGGACTTTCTAAAAATATCTGAATCATCTAAGTAAACAGGAACAAGGTTACATGGTCTAGATAAAGATTGGGCACTATAATTGAAATTAACAAGCGTCCATGGTTTTAAGTTCCAATATTCTATTAAAAACATTATGACTTTCTAACAGGCAAGAAAAAAATAAAGAAAATGAAATTAAAGGAATTACAGAAATCCATGAAGTGGGAATAGCTTTGAGAATGAAGCTTTACAGAGAGAAAAAATAAGGGATAACTTACGAACTAACAGAGGTAAAAGAGAATGAAAGCAAAGGAAAATTGCAAAGGAAGATTGGTTAAGGGTCAGTGTTAATGCTCTAATGAATGCATAGGCTGGGGTCCCACTTACTGAGTAATGAAGACTTGATTCCCTCAGCAGAGGGATGCTAGGAGTAAGATTTCATACTTTGAACGTGTATAATCTGAAAATGTGTGTTGGTCACCTAAAGAAGTCAAGTAAGTAAGAGAGAAGGAGTTTCACTTCATAGCGATATTCAGAATAAACCAATGACCGAAATATAATGCTTTAAAATTATTTAAGAAATCAGACATCCTGAGACATAAATATCTCATTTTATGATTATATTTTTGCTAAATTCTATTATGAGATGAAGAGTAAAATACCTTGCTTTATCATTGCATGAAACTATTAAATTCCTAAGAAGTCACACTTGAATCTTTTTATTCAATTTAACAATTGTCATGTTTTTTAGAAATTTATAATCAATACTTTTCAACTATAAAAATAAGGATTTTATTCAGGAAAATTTCCATAAACACTTAAAAAAAAAGTTTTGGTACATTGTGTCTTGTGTATCCATTTATCTGATTTGGGAAAGAGAAAAGGAACCACAGACATAGTGGGACAAAGGGTGAACCAAAGCAACAGCGATACTCACAAGACTCTGTTGGAAATGAACTTTACAACTTGGGGGAGAGGTGAGTAGGAAGAGAGGGAAAGTGAGGGAAAACGAGTGAGGGGGCAAAAATATTAGACAAGAAATGTACTCATTACCTTACTTCTGTACCTGCAACCCCTCTGTACATCACCTTCAAAATAAAATAAAATTCAATTAAAAAAATAATTCTTCTGACCTTCTGGTATCAATTGTACACATACACACTTTAACCAAAGTCTACTTTTGACTTTCTGTGTATACCTACATAATTTATGAGTTGCAATTCATTAGTATAATCCTTTCATATTAAATGTTTATGCTTTTTTTCAAATTTACTATTTTGGTAGGAGTTGTTTTAATAATTAAGTGTATGATATTTTTCTGATGAAATACTTTCAAAAAATTCTTCTTTTAAGTATTTTTCTATGATTGCTTTCTATAATAATATTTTCATTATTCTATTTTCATTCCTTTTTCTGTAAACAATTTTAGCTACTAAACTTTGAACAGCAATTATGTAGTTAAAGATTTGTAGACTGATCCGATTTAACCAAATTATTGGCTTTTCTTCCTTAAATATATGACATGGATTTTATTTAGTGTTTCAACTCTTAAAGAAAAATATTTAAATGTAATTACTTTTAGGAGTTTTGTGACTTTGAACAAGTCACAAAAAATTATATTCTTGCTCATAAAAAGATAGAGGAGACTTTGTTGCTATTTTTAAAGTGTAATTTTTAAAAAGTTCAATGTGCGGAAATAAATATTTGATGATTTAAAAAAAAGATGACATACTTCATGGATTTTCTCTGATGCTAAAAGACGGTTTAATGATGGCTTCCAGCAAGAGAGAATCCTTTTATTAAATTGCATGTTTCTTTGATTAACCCCTAGCCATAGTTTCTAACCAGCTCCTGCTGATGCGCTGCCAGCTCTACTTCACTCACTGGGTTTTGCTGGCAGAAAGTTGTCTTTATGAGTTGGTGGAGGTGAAGGATATTATTTATAGTGTATCTTTTTGATATGCAAATTTCTTTGTAATTTTTTTTCTTTCTTTTAATTTATTTTTCTTTACTTTGTTCTTTCTTTTTTATTGTGGTCCTGAATTGAAATCCCATTTCTATCCAAAGTAAAGATGCATGCACATATGCACACATGTGTACATATATATATATATATACATATATATGTATACACATATGTTCAAACAGAATTACAACTGGTCTCTTCCACTTATCACCTTTCTTAGTTATAATTTAAGTGACTGACACTGATTTTGTTAAACATTACCTATTTGTCACCTAAAAATATCATTGTGGCTCCATGGAGTCTCGAGGACATGGCTCATGTGCTTTGGTTTAATTTACCAAGTTCTTCATTCTATAGAGATCTATCTTCTGCTCAGACAGAGCATTGTGTCCACCTTACTTGAAGTTACTGGTGTCTTTCTTTCTTTTTTTCTTTTACTATTTTTTGGCCAGTCATGGGGCCTGAACTCTGGGCCTGGGTGCTGTCCTTCAGCTCTTCAGCTCAAGGCTAGTGCCCTACCACTTGAGCCACATCACCACTTCTGGCTTATTTTGCTTCTGTGGTGCTGGGGAATTGAACCCAGGGCCTCATGCATGCAAGGCAAGCACTCTACCACTGAGCCACCTTCCCAGCCTCCTGGTGTCTTTCATACTATAGGTATATACGTTTTCCACATGCTGCTTGCCCACTCTCCACACCTTACATTCTTTTTTTAAAAAAAATTTAATACATTTTTAATTGTAAAAATACTGTAGAGGGGCCACAGTTACATGAACAGTGTAATGAGTACATCGACTATCAAGCATTGTTGCCTCCTCCTTTGTTTTTCCCCTACCATCCCTTCCCTCCCACCTCCACAACTACTCCCCTCCCCCGCCTCTGCCGGCCTAAATTGCAAAGTTCGTTTTTCAACATAGTGTCTTGCACATCTCAGTGTTACATTGGGTCAACCTGTATCCCTATTTAAGCATTTTGTTTTTTCCCTTCCCCTCCCCCAAATTAAAGAAGTGTATATACAAGATGCAGGGCACCCACATCAAATACAGTGAAAACAGGGTTTATAGCATGGGGGAGGAACATACAAAGAAACAACAACAACAACAAAATCATATAGTACATTGTAAATATATTAGAACAATACCAAGAAAGACAAAACCACTTGTGTCCCTATTTTGGGGTTCATTTCACTTAACTTCATCTTATATTGTCATATGTATAAAGCTTTTGACCTTTTCTGCTTGTCCCAGACATATACTAGTTATTGCAAATAAGGGAAACCATGGGACTTATGTTTCTTTGGGCCTGGCTTACTTCACTTAATATAATTTTTTACCAGTCTTTCCATTTCCTAACAAATGGTCATTCTTTCTGAAGGAGGCATAGAATTCCATTGTATGTATATACCACATTCATCTACTGAGGGGCATCTGGGTTCGTTTATGGTAACCACACCTTACATTTTTGATCAATTTTGATTCTTCCTTTTTACTTCAGAAACCAAATGCTCCATCTTTTTTCCATATTTCTTGAACTTCTCCCTTTTAATTAAAGGTCTCCCTTTTATTTTTTTACCCTCAAAATTCAATTCCTTAGCATTTAGTTATTCTATCAAAATTGAAAATTAATTAGGCTATAAACTCTTAGGAACAAAATGGTTTTATTTTAATTTAATGTCCTAATATCCCAAAAGTTTGGCTCAGCACTTAATATAAAAATCTCTTGATACTTCTTAGTTGAAAACATAAAAACAAATGTAAATGGAAAACACATGCTTTCCCCTTAGTACCACATGAAAAGACTTCTCTGTAATTCACTATTTTGCCTTGTTATCACAACTAATAAACATCTAGAAAACATAAGCCCATCAAAGAAGGCCATCGTTCTAATTCTCCTAAATTCAGTTATTCTCTAGTAACCTTGTGGTTTAAATTTATTTGGCTTCTGGATGTTCTACCTATTTTCATTTTGTCTATCTTCTACTTTAAAAAAATATGTTCTTGTGCTGCATATCAGCATCATCAGAGAACTCTAGGAAAAGCTGAGATTGAAGGGATAATGAGGTTACCTCCTCTGATTTCAAAGGAGCCCAAATCATCAATTTTGACAAGTGTACCATTCGAAGATAATTCATTACCTATCTGTAAATGTGCTGTGGCAAAGTTTATGGAAGTAATGAAATTTAGTAATCTGAGACAGCTCTACCATGATCTCTGCCAGAGAATATGTTTTCTTGATGCTAAGGAACCTAGACAGAAGAGATTAAATCTGCTCTTTTAATGAGATTGGGATAGTGGATGTTTAGATTTATGGTATGATAGCAAATTGGTGGCAAGTAGATGAAGACTTTATGAAATTGGTTGTTAAGAAGCAAAACTACAGTGGAAGAATAACTAATGGCTTCCTTTTCATTTAAGTTCGTTCTACAGTGGTTAAAAAAAAAGCAAGAGAAGGAAAAAGGAGGTAAATAATACATTTAAAGAATTGAAAGTTCTTAGAAAAGGTTAAAGAGATGTAAGTTTTCTATCTTCTCATAATAGATTTGTTTCTTTAGTTCAAGACCCTTGAAGATAAATATGATCATTCAAGCCCATTATTTAAACATATTCTAAACTTTTCTCAGCTATGTTTTTCTTCTTTATTGTTCTTAACTCACCAGATTTTCTCTCTTTCTAAATTCCGTATTTATAGCCATGGATAAGAGTTTTTATTATATTTTAGCAATTTCCTTTGAATGAATATTTTTTGTGAGAAAACAAACTTATTCCCAGCACAAATAAAGGGAGAATTGTAAGTTTTACAATTAAGTAGCTTAAAAAGTAGTAAAAATTGCCGGATGCTGGTGGCTCACACCTGTAATCCTAGCTATTCAGGAGGCTGAGATCTGAGGATTGTGGTTCAAAGCCAGCCCAGGCAGGAAAGTCCATGAGAATCTTATCTCCAATAAACCAACAGATAACTGGAAGTGGTACTGTGGCTCAAGTGGTAGAGCGCTAGCCTTGAGCTGAAGAGCTGAGGAGCAGTGACCAGGCCCAGAGTTCAAGCCCCTTGGCTGACAAAA